TTCGTCTTGGCAATTGTGCTGGTCAATGCACTTCTGATGATCTTCTGGCTGCCTCACAAGTTCGAGTTCTTGGTTCTGTCGGACAGGAGCCTTGGCAACACCAGTGAAGCGGTCTGCAAGTTGAAGTGATTTGAAATGAGTGTTTCGTTGTGGTTACAGGATGTGTTGACGAAATTGGGGGCTCTGGGCTTTGGGTGAATACATCTTCAGTAAATATCTGATGCAGCTTCCGGCGAGATTCGCCATCAGTGCAGCCGCAGCTCTGCGAAAGCCGTCTCAACTTGCATAAACCAAAGCCCAAGGCATCTTCAAGTGCGAAGCTTCAAATCTTCCGGTGCAAGAAGAGTTCGAGCCTGAAAACCCTGCATCCACATTCTAGATTCTAGGCCGCAATCTTAATCGGTCTATCCTTAATTAATATGTGGTGCATGAGTGAGGAGGATCGTGTGCAAGCTTGCAAGTTCGACGGTAAGGAGGCTCCATCAGCAAACTTAAGAAGAACCCTCTATCTGACTGGCCACGTGCTGAGAAATTGGTCTTTCGGTTGAGCCTCCACATGCCCGGAAGTTTAACCTGGAAATCAAACTCCATTCTGGAATATCCCTCATGACTTGCCAACTCAAGCAAACGGATCCACAGCATGGCCTCGCAAGATCAACGCAATTCGGCAGCCAGAATCCAAGTCGAAGCGATGTGTAGTCCAATCTTCAATGGGGTGCTTGCAGACCTTCCGTGGGACTGAAAAAAACTCGGTGCAGCAAATCCACTTTCGCGCTTACCGCAAGCTGTGCCTTCGTTCTTCCAGTGGTCATGATTGTTGGCAGGGGTGCAGGAGCATAGATTGGCTGAAGCTCCCTGCAGAATGTGTCCCTTGCAGTGAGCAAGACGTCTGCTGAGATGTGACCTAGGAGTGGCGACGATACATCTTTCAGGAGGTATACCGGATATCGCATGGCTGACATGCTCACCAAGGGATCCGTGCGCTGGAGCTTGGGCGGCGAGCAGTTCTACTTCCGTTGGTTACCTGGCCTTAGCGAGCTCAGCTTTAACCCTGCACCCTGAACCCTACAAAGACGGCCCTAAGCCCCAAACCGCTCCAACCCTAAACCATGATCCCTGAACCCTGAACCCTAAACCACTTAAACCTTAAACCACGAACTCCAAAGCCTGAGCCCTGTAACCTAAAGTCCGAAGTCCCAGGTTTCCAAGAAGTATCGTGGCAGAATACCTGCGCCGCACCTGGCAGATGGAGAACTGGCCCGTGCTGAGAGACTTGGATGCCGAGTGAATGCCCCAAACCTGAGCGTTCAGGGTTGAGGGTTTAGGGTTTTGGGGGTTGAGGGTTTTTAGTTTTAGGTGTTGAAGTTCAGTAGGAAGAGGGTTTTGCCCTCGTTTTGGTCTGCCGCTCGATTGTTACTGCTGTTGTTGCTCGTCCTGCTGCGATGTTTGTTGATCATCAACAGGCGAGATTATCGATGAACGTTGGAGGGGCGATATCGAAAGGTCCAACGCTCTGATGGTGCACCTGCGCCTTGGAGACGTCTTGGAGCAGCAGTATATGCTGTTCCGGCATTATGTCGCTCTGCTCGACGAGAGGTAGATTCAGCGGGCGAGTATATGTAGGCCACCGGGTGCTTCCAGCCTTCTGAACCCCTAGGTTTTTAACCCTCAACCCTCTCAACCCTCAGTCCTAAACCCGAAACCCTAGACCCCGAGCCTTAAACCCTAAACCCTGAAACTCTACCCTGCATCCTGAGCCCGCAGACCCTCACTGGAAGTTCGCCTCTGGTCGACTCAGGTTATCAACGAAAGCTGCCAAGTCTGCAGTCAGGAACTGCAAATATTTACTGTGCCATTGGGAGAGCTCAACATGTTTGTCTTCATAGATTTGGCCCATGAGGGACAGTCTTGAACTCTTTCGGCCTGGTTATTGGAGAAGAGAGAATATTTCTGCCTTGGGTTTCCCTTCAGCGAAGTTGGCTGAAGTGTAGTATCAAGGCAAAGTGCGCAGTTTGGGAGGTTTCAGTGGCATGGTTTTCCTTGCTTCTCGCATTCTCCGAAACCCAGAAAGGCCATTTTCACAGGCCTAGTTTCGGCGGTGATCTCTATGTCCGTGCCAAGGGCTCCGTAAACCTTAAAAGAACCCCATAAAGGACCCTTTTAAAGGAAGCCCTTAAAAAGGAACGGGACCCCATTCAAGAGGTATGTGTTTAACTGTTTCTGAGGGCTCAGACGGCCTCCAAGCCCTTAACAACGAATGTGCCGCAGAACCGTCTCCTTCAGCATAAATCTTAAGCGCAGCTTCAGAATTTGGGGTTTGGGGTTTTCGGGGTTTCGCGGTTTAGAGTGGTAGTCTAAGTCAACTAAATTCCACCCTGCCCAACCCTCAGACACTTTCATGCTCACCCAACCAAGGCTTCTATGAGGCCTACCAAACTCCCGGCATCGCCCGTGTGATCCTCTTTGGCAACCCGTGGCACCAAGTGGCCACAGATGCTGGGATGCAGTGTAGGGTTTTGGTTTAGGGTTGAGGGTTCCAAACCCGAAACCCTAAACTCTAATTGGGAGTTCTTGACGGTGTCCATGTGGCAGGCCTTCGTGTTTGACTCCAAACCCTACGCCCTACAGGCTTTAGGGGTTTAGGTTTGAGGGCCTCGTTCTAACTTCGGAGCCCGACCCCTCATCTTGAGCTTGGACATTGATAAAGCTGGTCGGGTGGCTCTCAGGGTTCTCAGCTATGCATCACGCTGGAGGTCTGTGGAGTCGCAGCTTGAAGTTACAGAAGCTGAGATCTGAATCGGGTAGCATACCGAAGCCCCCCGAACCCCCTGTTTCCATGACTCATCAAGACGATGCCCGTCTCAGTTCAACCTTCTCCGCCAGATGTTCTTTAAACCCAGGAAATGTAATCTAGAAGTCCCTAAGCCCTCAACCCTGAGCCTCTTAAGCCCCTCCCCCCTAACCCTCCCAGGATGTGGTGCCAGAGAAGAGCTTGAAGTATGCTCATCGAGTTGAACATATCTTCCGGCGCCACCTGGACCGGATTCCAAGGGCTCCCAGCAGAGACGTAGCGCTCCCCACAGCCCCAGAGCCCCAACCGCCAGCCCTCGAAGCCGAAATATCCCGTGCCCCCAAACGTCCCAAGACCCCAAACCCTAAACCCCCAAACTCCAAACCCTAAAACCCTAAACCCCTAAACCCTAAAACCCAAACTCCAAACCCTAAAACCCTAAACCCCTAAACTCTAAAACCCTAAATCCCTAAACCCTAAAACCCAAAGCTCATGGAAACTGTGCGCCCCGACACTCAGGAAAAGGGCTGGTCACTGCATTGCACCTCTCCGACTTCAATGCCAGCAATCCGGAAGCTAGGCTCTTGCTAAGGACTTCAGTTCAAGTTAGTTACCACAATGAACATCCCATAATATCTACGATAGATCCCTATGTGACGAAACCCTAAACTAAACCCTATAGTCCCAACTGGCCCTTTCTGGCAACTTCAACTGTGGTTCTTAACAAAAAAGGAGGAGACGGCGGAGGAAGCTGACAAGCACTTGCAATTGGCCCTGATGCCCGGATGGAAGCTTCAGGGTGGGTGGTAAAGGGGCCTGCAGAATTGGGAAGACTTTTTCTCAGGGTTCCTTGTTTGATTGCGCTAATTGTGGAAGAGTTTACACCAAAATCCCACATTTATCATATGCTGCGTGCTTTTACGGTTTTTGTTCTGAGGACCCTCTGGACGTTTCAGTTCGGCTTTGGAACGTCGGGTTCAAGCAAGTGGGTCGCTGTTTTATGTTTCGGGTTGCAGGTTGCGAAGTTGGAAATTTCTGCAGCTAAAACCTTAAAGGCTTAGCGCTTCTCTCATCAAAATTCGTCAATCCCAACCCCACCACCCTAAACCCTAAACCCTAAACCCTAAACCCTAAACACCCAACCCCACCATAGCTGCTTCAGGGCTCCCCTTCAGATTCCTTCAAGCCTTCCAGAGGGGTTCCCCCCCCGAAGGGTTCGTTTCAGCTGTTGAAACGGGTCCCCGAGACTTTTCATGTTGCCTGCTTCCAAGGAGTGGGTCTCGACTGCTGATATCAGGCGGTGGCTTTGGGCGTCTGCTCAAGCGACTAGCACAGTACCGTGGTCTCCCGGTTGATGACTCTTGGGTGGCATTTAACTCAGTATTTCAAGAATAGTATTAAGAGTACTAACGGTGCATGTTTTCATGTGTTGTTGGGAGCTTCCTAGCCTAGGTCCTAGGTTTGGGGCTGGTGGCCCCAACGGATTGGGTTCTATGCAGGGCCCTCCGAGCTGAGCTCTCATATTCCAGAATGTAGACTTAATGCTTAGAATAGGGTTTTGGGGCCCACTATACTATAACTATCATGAGGAACCTGCAAATATTAACTAATAAGGCCCCCTGTCTCAATCCGTCTCAGACCTTGTCCTGAGCCCAACAGAGCCAACAAGGACCCCGTGAACAACGCCGAGGGTTCTATCGCATCCAGTGATGTGAAGGCGCAAGTGCGCAACTGGATCCAGAAATGGATGCGGACACGGCGACGGTAGCAAAATGTAGCCTCTGCTTCTTCGGGTTGACTTGATGGTTCTGAACGTGACAGTGAGATGATGCCTGATACCCGCATGATGAATGCATTTGTGATGATGATGACGATGGGCATCATGATGGTCTTTTCGTTGATTTCGAAGATGAAGACCAATAGGGGTTTTGGAGTGAACATCAAGTATAGCGCAAGATCTATGTCTGGAACCTTCTAAGGACAGGGCCAGTGCAGGCAGAAGGATTCTGATGGTAGTTGCCGTGATGATGACGGATGCCACAACTGTTGTTAGATATTAGCGAGATGCCTAGCGGAGGTTGTTAAGTCTGTGTATCTCGCAAGAAATCCTTCAGCATTCTGGCAGTGCCGGCTCGAGAACTTGACTGCGACACGTCGCGGAATCGTTGAGCCAAGCATGGCCTCTGCTTCTACCGCATACTTTGAGGACATGGGCGGTTTCCTCCAGTTCTCACCGGCTTCCCATGGCAGCTTGGGACATCCAGAGCTTTGCCAGCGGCCTTGCGTGTACATCGCGAAGGGTGGCTCTTGCTTTCATGGGGCTGCGTGCCGTTTCTGCCACGACACGCACTGCAAAGCCTCGTTGAAGATGGAAAAAGCCCAACGTGAACTCATGCAAGCCATGCGGGAGGAAGATGTGAGGACTCTCCTTTTCCCTCACATCCAGAGAAGGCTTCAGAAGCTCGAGCTGACAGAGAAGGCGGCAAGTCTCTTGCACATGTTCGGGCAGGAAGTCCACTCGGATGAGCAACACACCTTCAAGGACGTTAAGCGGCGTGACCTGAGCAAGCTCAGCCGATTCCTAGCTCGGCTACCTTTGCTTCCACTCGCCGCCTGTCTGTTTTATTCCGGTTCTCTTAATGAAGTCGTCTGTGTCCAGCAGCAAAACAGCTGCAAGGCTAAACTTTTTTTACACATCCAAACCAGCATGGCTTTCCGCAAGGACATGCTCCCACGCACGGAGGAATGAACCTGTGTCGCCGTGATTTGCTGTGTCCGTCGAAGGTCAAATACTTTCCGAGCAGATCTCCTGCAATGGTTGACGCGCAGCTGGATCTGTTAAGGGTTGAGCTTGACCAGCAGCGTGCATTGATGCAGGGAGCCGTGGTTCAGTTCTGAAGCTCTCGGAGTTGTGCCTCCAGGATTTCGTTGTGAGCAGATGTAATTCGGGACCTACTTCGTTCAAGTTCGCGAAGGCACGGTCAGCTTCTTTCATCGGGCGCGGAGCACTCGAGTGCTTGCCATTTGAATACATCTCGGCTTCTTCTAGTTTTTGCATGAGACCCTGTGGTTGCACAGCTTTTCATCCCGGGGTTGCGCTTGAAGGGGTCATGTTGGGATGAGACTGGCTCGGAAACTTGTATCAGTTGTTTGAACTGCGTTGTTTTCCTGGTACAGCCGTGGCTGCTTGTCCCAGCATGTCTCCTGGCACGAAAAGTCTGCCACTGCTGTTCACATAGAAAGATGGTTTTGACCTCTGGCCCGCCTCTTTCAATACCCGCTGGCGGGCCGCATTGCATGTCACAGCAGTCGGCGGCTGCACAAAGCGGACGGCACTGCGCGGCATCCTGGCTCTGACTTGGCACTCTTTGGTGCAGAGATGAGTCGGGATGCACTGCTGACCTGCTGACAGATCAGACAGCACCCTTCTTACTCAAGGATGTAAAGCCCTGCTACCTGACATCAACAAGTCACACTAGGTCAGCTGGACGGTATCGTTTCCTGGGAACGCACATGATGTGGAAGTTGGTGATTGTCCAACGTGGCTCCCGTCGCGAGACGTCCGCCACTGCTGTTCACATAGCAAGATGGTTTTCACCTCCCTTCAGTCCCATGAGCGGGCTGCGTTGCATGTCACAGCAGTCGGTGGCCGCACGAAGGTTCAAGCGATCACCTGTTTCACTGATTACGTTTGGTTTCCACCACGATTTGGAGAGTTTTCCTCGCGTCACGCAAGGGGTCTTTATCGGGAAATCTAACATCAGTTCGTGACTTCGTTGCTGTGTTTGGTATTTCAGGCTCGCCGTGTGCGACAACTGCTGTCCGACACACGATGGTCCACAGCTTTTTTTGCCAGGATAGGATGCTTCTTGACACCTATGCAATGCCATGTCAGTGCCGTAAAAAAGCAGGTGCAGTTTCTTGCATCCGCGTTGCTCTTCAGAAATGCAGTGGTCGTCCTTGCTGTGTTGATGATGACGGTGCTAGTGACGATTCTGATGTGGAGACTCTGATGGTGATGACGATGCCGCAGGTTGTGGATGTCTTGGTGGGTGACGCATTTAGGTGCTTGGGCTTTCAGTTCCGTTTCTCTGGGTCATGCGAACTCCAATGCTGGCCTTTAGCTTTCAAGGGTGAGCTTCAGCCAGAACGCTTAAGCGAAGATCTCAAGGTCGCTTGAATTGGTTCCAGGGTGTAAAGCCTGAGATTTCGAAAGCGCCCCGTTTGTGGGCTCACAGGAAAGCTGTTCTGTGCATAGGGACAGGGTTTCCGCGTGATTCCCTGTTCGCAGGGAGCTCAGATGTCACAAGCCGGCCGGAAGGTCCGGTTTAGGGTGTAGGGTTTAGGGTTTACGCATCTGTGACAGGAAGCCCTAAACCCCTAGCCCTTTTAGCTCTATCCCTACTTTGGGTTCCTTCGAGCGGCTGTCGGGACAGCTCCGAAGGTTTCGACGTGTACTGAGAGAATCATGGGACTAGCAACTCGGAGTATAAATAAGCTAACTCTTAGTTATACTTTCTATGCCTTGGAAAAACATAACTATAGCTATACTTTATACTTACTTCTAACTCCAGTTAAGGTACTTATATCCTTACCAAGGTCCCATGATCCTGCAAGAAGGAGTCGGTTTCAGAGCCTTTGGAGCACCGAGGTGTGGACCGAGATCCAACACTTCCCCAAGATCTGTACAAAGCGACTCCAAAACCCTTGAAGTCGGAAATCTACCTTGTTTTAAATTCGAAGGGGGTTCTGATCAAGATTGCAATCTAAGGATATCTAAGGTCTATTCCTGAAGGAAGGGGGTCTTTGGCTCTCTCGGGGAAAGCTAGGCATCGCCCCTAGACGCGGCTCCACCGAGGCTGCTTCCGCAACCTGATCCAGAGGTTCGAGGCCGGGGTGCAGATCCTGTGACTTTCTGTCAAGGCTCCAAGCCCTGAAGCATAGTGAAGCTATAACCCTAGGCCCCTAAAGTCGAAACCCTAGGGAAACCTTACGGACTCCGAAGAGAACTTGGAGACTTTCCGCTTCGGTGGCCGAGCTTCGGATTCCGGACAGTTCGTTTCTCCGACATGTCCGAAACCCTAACCCTAAACCCAGACTGTTAACAGATATTTCCAGTGGTTTTCCCACACGTTTAAATTGGGCCGAGCGTTCTGGGTGGATGTGGAGATTTCTGCAGTTTCAGTCGTAGGGAGGCCTCCTGAAGTTTCGCAGAGTTTCGTACTCGCAGAGCCCTAAACCCTCAACCCTAAACCCTAAACCCTAAACCCTAAACCGTATCATCTTTTTCTTTGACCCGCGGGCTCCACTACGAAAGCGCGAAGCTGAATCCCACCCCCTTTTGGTCCGGAAGCTGCTAGGTCCTAAACGCTACAAAAGCGAAGCGCCAATGAACCTCAGCGGAGAGGACAGCCAACTACAGCAGATTCTCTGCGAACCCTCCGATTCGATTCCCACAGGCAGCTGCCTGATCAGTTCATCCGCAGACAATGCCGCGGACCCAGTAACTCTGTACGAGCCAAGCCCGCAAATGCAAGACCCTAAACTCCTAAACTCTGAGGCCATAGGCCCTGAACCATGACCTCCGAAACTCCAAACTTGCACAGCGAGGAGGCGAGAACGGCCCACAAAAACCAGACACTAAAGCTGTGCGCCAGCGCTTGATCTGAATTTAGGGTTTTGGGGTTTGGGGTTTAGGATTCAGGGTGCAGGGTTTAGAGCCATGCTCTTGGTGCCGGAGCTGTGGCTTCTCAGCCCCAGCTGCAGAGCTAGGTGGTGCTTGGGGATGCTTCCGAACTTTCCTTGTAGCCTGGTAACATAGGGGCCCTTACAATTACCCAATCACACTCTTTTGGGGGTTCCTTACGTTAATTATCGTCTTTTGAGCCCCAAAACCCTATTCTAGTTAGTATGGCCCCTATATATTAGGTAGAACGAGAGGAGCCGTGCCAAGGAAGTCTTGTGTCTTCGTGGCCACTCTGGGCGCCCTGGCGTCCGTCTGCGAGGCAGGTCCGTCCTATCTGCCTGAATCGGTTCACGATGGGAGTTTCCGAAAATTAGGGGTACCTTATTTTGTGGCCCTTATTATAAGGATCCTACTTTTAGGGTATTATATTAGGGTCCCCGATTTTCGGAAACTCCCATATGCTTAAAGCCGAAATCCTAAACCCGAACTGGGCTTGGGGCTGCCCGAAGCGCCTAGGGTTTAGGGTTTAGGGCATTTATCATAGCTTCCACCGCACGGAGCGGTCAGGCAAGAGTCTTGCCTCAGCAAGAAAACCGCATCGTTACGTTCCTGGGCCACGGGGTCGCCCGCTCCACGTCATTCATGCATTTCTAACCTGCTTGTGCTGTTTTGCAGAAGAGGAGCCGCACAAAACTCCAGAAAGGCACCAAAACCTTCAACCCTAAACCCTAAATGTTACACACAGGCATCAAATTCATGGAACCTTGACGCCCCAAGCGCACAAAGCCTCAGAAATAGGAGCCGGAAGCTTCAAGAAGTTTTTTGCGAGGGGAATGGACCCAAAACCCGAAAGCCTGAACCACATGAACCTTAAGACCTTAAGACACCCCAAGTCCCCAAACTGAACCTCTTAAATCTGAACCTCTAAGCCCCTTTTCCTCTTTGCACTTCTTGAAACCGGACGAGGCTCGCACCGCCCTTCGGCAGACGGCACGCGCCCTGAGGCCTCAGGGTTCCTGCATCACGGGTTTCCGCTGCTTTGAGTTTGGGTTTCAGGGTCTGGGGCTTTGAGCTTTCGAGTTCAGGGTCCGGATCCCTAAACCCAAGCCCGAAACCCTAAACCTTAGTTGGAAAAAGGTGTTCGAACAAAACCTTAACCTTACTGTAGTTAGGAAAGACAGTGTTCAAGCTAAGGCCTTAGATCCTAAACTCTGAGATGTCAAGGGCCCGAGGTGTGAGACGTGGGAGGTGGAATCGAGGCTTCTGGATCTGGGATTTGAGAATGTGAAGATCACGACCTCCGGTAGAAAAGCCCAGATTTGGGGGTTTTAGGGCTTAAGGCGTTTAGGGTTTATGGTTTCGGCTTCTGGAAATGAAAACCTTCGAGGGCAGCCCCATCGGAGTCGCAAACACTCTTTTTTGCGCGGCCGTCGGGTTGAAGTCCATGGAAGCCCAGACGGTCCGGACGGTAAGCTTGGATTTCCTCCGCCAGGGCGGACGATGTTACTGCGCCGGCAGCCCAAGAGGGGTTGTGGCTGGGGAGTTTGTCATTTTGCTGTGAAGATATAGCCTGCATGGGTAAGGGCGAGGGTTCCACTTCCACACGTATCCCCGAAATCCCTGGGCTACTGAAACCGGAAGCCACAAGCAGCTGCCCATACTATGCTTCTCGTAGACTTTTGACCCGTTTGGACAGGTTTCCATGATCCAGAACCAGTTTGCTGCAAGACATGGCGTTTAAGGCTTGAGGCCCTTGCCGCAAGCCTAAAGCCCCATACCCCCTATATCCTTGACCCGACATGCCCTAAAGCTTAAACCCTCAACCCCAAGATCACCCAGGTCCGCAGAAGAGAACCCGTGCCCGGGGGGACAGCCGAATCGCTTCCCGTCCGGCCTGGAGAAGAGCTACTCCATCGTCGGAAAGGCTCTGCGGCTCACCCGCCTTTCTTCTTGTTTAGGAAGGTGTTGGGGTTTAGGGAACTTGGGGCTTGAGGATCCGCACGGTTGAGGGTTGAGGGTTATGGGTTCCGGTTACAAGTCTCGTTCAGAGATCTGCTTGTGGGAAATGGTGTGAGAAGGCGAAGTTCGAGGGTACCTCGCCTTGGCTACCCTAAACCCAAAACTCTACCCCCCGAAAGCCCTAATTTTCCTATACCCTAAACCCTGGAACCGTAAACTCTAAACCCTAAACCCCTAAAACCCTGATTCCCGACCCCTAAATAGCCCTAAACCGCATCCTGTGTCATCTCGGCCAGAACAAGCTGGATTCCATCTGGGATACCGAGAAGCTGCGCGAGGCTGGGATCTGTTTCCGGGAAAAGACAGATTAAAGGAAAGATTTGCCAAGAACAATCATAGTGCTAGTAATAGCAACAAGAACAATAGTGATAATAAGAGGAGCTATATTAACAATAGTGATAAACATGGTAAGAATAGTAGTAGTAATACTCGTATCAGACTGGCTCCTAACTCTCCGTTTCCTATTCTGGCTCGGAGGGCGCTTTTCAGGCTTGTTTAGTGAGCCCTTACTTGGAGGGTCGGGGGACTTAGTAAGTAGGTAGTAAGTAGACTTATAAGTACTCTAAACGGGACCCTAATTGGGGTTATGGTGCTTATAAGTCCCTAAAATGACCAGTTACTAAGTCCCCCGACCCTCCAAGTACGAAGCACATAGAAAAAATCCTGAATCCCGTTGAATTCCTGCGAGGCTTTGGCTTCTGAGGAGCAGTGGAAAATCGGCCAGCCATGGCTTCTCAAGGCTCGACTTCCCTTTGGGATTCGGACCCTGGGACTTGGGAGTTTGGGGATTATATGGGCATGTTTCCAAAGAGCTTCTACGAGGGACTTGCGTGGGGGCTCGAGGCTTCTGGCTGGTTTGGTACCTTGAACCAGAAACTCCTCCCACTAGTCCCACTAAGGGCCCCAAAACCGAAGTCTTCGTCCGCGATTTCGACGCAATCAATCTTTCGCACAGAACCTCTCTACCGCTCGATGTTGAACACTTCGCCAAGTTCACGGCTTTTTCCTTGAACCTCTCGACTCTAAACCCCTCAGCTATAACCCTTAAATTCTGAACCCCTAGACCCTAAAGCCGTAAGTCCTCAACAAGAAGGCTGACCTCTCTGAGCCAGGCCACCTTCACCAACAACGGCCAAACCAGCCGCAGATTTGGCTTTCAGGGCGGCGAGGACAAAGGCACCGGTAGATGGAAAACGCGAAGTCTCCTGAACTCCTGGGCCGTAATCCCCTAATCAAAGCCCCAAACGTTTTAAACCCCTCAAGCTTAAGCCTAAAATCCTATACTACGCTATACTCTACTCTACTAACCCTAAACCCTAAACCTTGAACCTTGAACCCTAAACCCTAAACCGCTAGGAACCGAAAAAAACCCAGCCTGAGAATGCAGTGGCTCAGCCCTTATGGGCTGACCGGTGGCAACAACAGCTTAGAGAGTTTAGTGGTTGCGACTAAAGGAACGAACCCCATTATAGAACCCTATGGTACCCTTTAGAGGAAAACCCTACTATAGAGAGGGTTTAGGGTTTAGGGTGGTAGGGTGTGCGATGCAGGACATAATGAGGTTAGGCTTTGGGGGGGTTCGATTTAGGGTTTGGGGTTTACGATCCATGAGGTTGTTTTAGTCCAGCCCGCGACTCTCTGTGCTTGGTGCGTTCCTCGACATCGAGTTGAAGTACGCAACTACACCAAGACGTTCTGAACTTCTAGAAGCAGTATGAAGCTAAACGCTTGACCGTGGTGAAGGTTCGGGATTTCAGGGTTTGGTGCCTAAGGCTCTTGGAATCGAAAGAGAGCTTTTCTCAGCCTGGGAGGTTTCTTGGACATCGTCGTTCCTGCTGGCTGCGTAGACTGCGAGCTGAGCACGCAGGCGCCCTTTGTCGACCCTTGCCTGGGTCCTCCTGTTTGAAGTTCGAGCTTACTCTCAGCCCCAAAATCCTAAAGCCCCAACCCGTAAACGACCCTGATTCGACACCCTTCGTCTTTCGATATGGCCTGTTGCTAGGCCAGAGTCTTGTCTTCGGCCAAGCACACAGAGTTCCAGTACAGCCGGGAGCCACAGCCACAACCAGCTTGATGTCTCTGGGCTTCGGGTTTAGATTGCACGGATTGGGGTTTGCGGATCAGTCTTGCAAGGGCTAAGGTCTCGGAAGGTCGTTCTTCTAACTGCATTCTAACTGCAATTCTGCAGGTGAGCAGGTGAACCTGCACAGTGTACATGTTTCTTCCCGTTACCAGCAGTGGAGATGTGATGCAAAGTGCCTGAGCAAATACCGGATGCGCGCACATGTGCGCATGTTGCGTTGTGAGCAAACCGGCAGACGAAACAGAAGCAGATTCATGGGTGGAGATGGAGAACAACATACCCAAACATAATTGCAATCATGCACCAGCATCCAAATCGCTGTACTGTTGCGAGATTCCCATCGGATGCCTCCGATCCCTTCGGCATCTCGTCAAGCCTGATAGAATCTGCAGATGTTGCAGTTTCATCCAGAGGTCTGAAAAGTAGTGTTGTATTCTAATTTTCATGGCCCTTCTTATAAACTCCGTAAGCAGACGCTACAAAACCTTATAACACCTCTTGAAACCCTATGAAGCCGTAGAAGAGCCCATCATACCCTGTAAGATGCGATTGCTCATCTGCAAGGCCCCTCTCGACCCTAAACCGAAAGCACTAAACCCCAAAACCACTCTCTTACTGGGAGGATCATGGGACTTAGTAAGTAAGGTTATAAGTAGGTTATAATTAGGATGACCCCACTTAGGAGACTTATAACCCTAATTATAACCTACTTACTAAGTCCCATGATCCTCTAAGTACCCATCTGGGCTGCCAGGGGACGACAAGCCCTTCACTAGCGGCGAGGTGACCATGACCAGCATCTGCCTGACCCCCCAGGCTCACTGCCGGCAAACTCGGAGCTTCTGAATTGTGACAGTAGTCCGAGCAGCCAATTTGATAGTGGCAGCAACGATAATGATAATGACAATAGCAATCATCATAATAACAGTAGTAGAAGTAAGAGTACTGGAAAGAAAATAGAGAGTAGCAGTCAACATGATAATGTTAGTACTATCAGGAATACTAGAGTAGTCGATTCAACAGAAACAATTCTCATCATTTTGAGGGATCTTCCTCTACCCGGCAGCAGCAGCGCCCACCGTAGATCACAAGCCGTTTTTCACCCCCCCCCCAAACCTCCACCGGAAACCGACTTAGTTTACAATCGGCACTGAAGGCCCAGACTGTGAAAGGCTGAGCCAGCCTTGGCCCGGCAAGCTGAAAGGAAAGCTGCAGAGGGCTAGGGAGGTTTAGGATTTGGGTTGTGGACGGTGCTGGTTCCAGGCCTCAGACCCGAAAGCCTCAGCCCAGCCCCCAAAGAAGCACCGAAATCCTTCTCCGAAGGTGTGCAAGGGCTTCAAATGCATTGGCCTCAGTGACTGTGGACCAAGGCATGTAGCGGATGCAGCCCAGCAAAAGTAGCAGTTTTCGGCGCCGACAACTTTCTACTTCGAGCCGCCAATGGCTGCTGTCAAGAAGAAACCACGCACTCTTTGAGAGGGGAGATTTTAGACAGAGTGGCTGTGAATGCTAGACGGCACAAGCCCAAATCTTGAAAGCTCCAAACCTTCGACCCTTAACCCTAGGGGCCACCAAGACACCCCTAAATGCCAAAGCTGGCAATCTGCTATCGTCGATTCAATGCTTTTGAATGCTGAAACCCTACACCCCAGTGCCCCACAAACCCCATTCCTTAAACTCTGTTGCCCGCTAAACCTTCACCCTAACCCCCCTTGCCCCCTGTACCCTAAACTCTGCTTGCCTAGGCCCTCACCCGCTTACCCAGAAGCTCAAGAGCAACGAGACTTTCGGCTGGTCGGAGAGCGCTTGCTGCGAGCCGAGGCTCCCCCCGGAAGCTTTTTTGAGCGTCTTTTGAGAGTTTCCCAAAATTAGGGGTACCCTATTTGGGGGTCCCTATACTAAGGACCCTACTATTTGGGATACTATGTTAGGGTCCCCTATTTTCAGAAACTCCCTTTTCAACCCCTAAACCCTAAGCCCCAAGTCCAAAACCTGCAACTCTAATTGCGGGGTGCAGGGATGCCAAGAGTCTTCGGGAGGTGTTCAGTCTTCTGATTATTTGTGGGTTTAGGGTTCAATGCTCAGGAGTGGGGTGTTCAGGTCAGTAGAAGATTGAAGATGCAATTGGAAGTAGCTTTCGAGGAATGATATAGCTGCGGACCCAGGCCCTCACACGGATCCTGAGCATGGAGCCGCAGAGTCTGAACGCATACGCTTTTCATTCGTGTGCAGGGTGGTGTTAAGATCACAACCCTCAATAGGCTTACATAAGCTTCCGGTGTGAGTCTTCCTGGAGGTCGTTCGCAGGCCAACCGAACCCAATCACGTGGTTCCAATTGAGCAGCTTCCCCCAAAACTGACGACTGCCTTTTCCATGCGATGATGACTCCACTCTCAGCAACCGCCAACCTGGCTTCCAACAGTTCGACAGAACCCTTTCAGCAGGTTCTGCAAGGATGAAGTCACCTGTCAGGGGCTCAGAGGCTCTGGTTACTGAATTCGGGCTTCAGGCTTTAGGCGAATGAGATTTTCGCATCAACATACCCCTCTGTCTCTCTTCTTCTTCTTCTTTTGCTTCTTCTTTCTCCCAGACTCCCAGAGACTACGGTTGACGAGGTAAATCCTGCATTACCTTAAAGATCCTAAACTATGGGAATTATGGCCTATTCCTAGTCGCTGGGCGACTGCATATGATGATTGGCGCCTGGTTTCTGCGTCTCTTTGTGCTCTCTTTCCTGGATTAGCCACGTGGTGTTTTAGGGTTTAGGGTTTAGGGTTTTGCTTTGGGATCAATGCCTGGGTTGGTTGGGGTTGAGGGTTGAGGGTCAGGCGGGTAAGGGTTGAGGGTCCGGGATTTAGCGCCACGGAAACTACCTGTTCTGATCATGCGTAGTGACTAGGTAGCAGACGTTGCCGGGCTTTGCGTTTGAGGCTCTTCGCGGTGGGGTTTTCAGGGCGGGCTCTGGCTGACTTTATCAGCCGGTCCAGGCCCGGTCCTGCCGCCAGAAGCTTATCAAGCCCATGATCCTAATATAACAATATATAATACAGTATACGGCTATAGTCTAAGGATACTTCCAGCATCTGTAGAATATTCTACAGTATAATGTAGCAGAGTATAAGGTAATATGATGAAGCTGAATTGCTCACAACCCTATGATCCTCGGCTCCCGCCCTAGAAGTCCCAAGTGCGAAAACGCGAAATGTGCGACCCATCCGGAGAAGGCCTATCCAAAATCCATAGAGCCCTTGAACTCGAAGTCCTTATATCCTAGTAAAGCCCTAATCCGAAAATCGTCCCAGTAGATCAGATCCTAAACCCTAACACTAGAGCCTAGGATTACTGGGCGATGGAAAATGAAAAAGGCCTTCAAAACACAAAACCCTGAATCCTAATAAAGCCCAGAACCGAACATCGTCCCAAAGCCCATGTATCCACACCACATCCAAAAACTGCAACGCCAAGGCTCGCCAACCAGCCAATGGGCCGTCACCTCAGCATAGTCCACACGCTTCGGGGTTTGTGCTGCTGTGATTTAAGGGTTTGTGAATTCTGTGCAGTCTTTTTTGGGAGTTGCGGGTTGTTCTGAAAGTATTGAAGCTAGAATCCAAGCCGCAAGCCTGTTGCTCTCGCCCTTCACCCCGAAACCTCAAAACTTTTCGTGCTCTTCAGTGCAGGCGCCACGCGCGGACTTCGACACCCGCCATGGTTCCACCCCGCAGGCTGGCGCCCAATATCAAAGATTCGCCCTGGTGAGCAGATGAGTATCTAGCTGCAAGCTCCTATGTATTGTTTTAGGGATTAGGGTTTAGGGTTTTGTTTTTGCGGCTTCTTACTCGTCTCGAAGGATTTTGTGAGCTCCAACCTTGCCGTGGGTGCTTGTGCAGGTAGTTGGGTTCAGGGATCTCTTCGGTAGCTCCCATGAATCCCATGAGAGCGCTCCCCGCGGCTGGCCCTAAACCGATGCCCCCAAGATCCCAAAACCTTGAATCCTAAACCCTAAATCCTAAATCCCCCAAACCCTACATCGTAAACCCTAAACCCTAAATCGTAAGCCCCAAACCCGAAATGGTAAACCCTAAACCGTAAACAATAAACCCTAGAACCTAAACCTTAAATCCCCCTCTTCTGTTCTCAAGGCTTGCTGTACGGCTAAGCTTTGCCCCTCGGTGCTGCCGGCGAAGCTTGGTGAAGGGTCTTGGGGGCCCTTTGTGCGTCTGTCTGGGTTTCGGAACTAAAATTTTATGTTTTCGTGTGTCTTGCTGGACTCAGGCTTTCGGATGTTGGACGTGGGATGTAGGTGTGTCGTTTGCGTTTGATGTCGGCCGGTGCGCCGCTCGTTTCAGAGGTGCCATAGGCGGGTTGCTCGGAGCTTTTCAAGCCGCAACCAAGCATGCCTTTAGTCCAAGCCCCATAACCCCTAATCAAGGAATATACTATCATCATTTTAGCTTAAATCATAACATAAGCCCCTTATAATTTCAGGCATGTTGCTTAATTAAGGGGTATTGGGCTCCTTGGCAGTCAGCACCGAGCCCTAAGCTCGAATCCCTCAAGCTTCCACCGTCCGCTAGGAAAGCCGCATTTTCGCCAGGACTTCTGCGACAACATCACGGGTTGGGAGAAGCACCCGGCAACGGGCCTCAAAGGCGCTACGAACTTGCTTCGGGTTTAGGGTTTAGGGTTTAGGGTTTAGGGTGTAGTAGGGGTTTAGGGGCTTTAGGGGATGCGTTCTGGTTTCCGGGTCCAGGGTTCACTTCAAGGTGCTAGCTCCGTGGAGCTTATGCTAGCCTGGGGCTTGGAGTTTTTCGCCGCAGTGGCCTTTTTCTGGAGATTATGCCTTAATACGATGAGTACCAAGTATACGCTATGCGGCTGCAGGGTTCAAGTCCCCCGAAGCCCTAAGCCCTTAAACCCTCAAGCCCTAACCCTAAAGCCCTTGAACCTCCAAGCCCCAAACCCTACATCTTTCAACCCAAAAGCTGAATCCCTGAACCGGCGAAGGGGTCGAGTGTCGATATGGGAGTTTCCGGGGGTACCTTATTTTGGGCTCCTTATAATAAGGATCTTACTATTTAGAGTCCTACATTAAGGTCCCCTATTTTCGGAAACTCCCATATCTGTGCCTCGCTCCAAGCATGAACTGACGTGCAGGAAGCACCAAGGAGGAATGCTGCATCCAGAAGGAGTGTGCGGAGCCCGGTCCATGTGTGAAGAGTATACCCTCAAGTTGATGCTAAACGCCCAAAAGTTGGAAACCCAGTAGCTTCAATCCTTAAGAGTAATGTGTAAGGGAATCCCAGCACTATTTGGCCTTAATCCGGTTTCCAACTATACGGGGTTTTCTGTAAACCCTCAATCCGCAGGCAGTGCGAAAGTACGAGTCAATACACTTGAAAACACCTAAACCTTCGTCTGTCAGGGAGAGGATTGAGTTCCTGAACCGTGCGCCGGCTAGCTGCGAATCTTAGCCCTCGACTCCTTTCTATTCTGGGGTGTAGGGTTTAGGGGTTAGTGCAAGTTGCCAGAATGTCTTACAGAGTACACGCTTTGGAAACTTCCCAGAATTTGGAATGCACTGCTGCGCATGCCTTCATCGTATGATGATGCACAGTAGGTTCCTCGAGCAAGAAGCCACCTGACTCGGCACGATAGCTCCCACTGCTTTCAGGAGTAACTGCACCAGACTCAGATATCTTAAGCCCGGAACCCTGAAGATCTGTCTTAATGGCTTGACTGTTGAGAATGCCAGACAGGTAATTTTTTGGCTGCAGGTATCCGATTATTGAGGCACTTCTGCTGCTGAGCCGCTAGTCACGTGTGGCCCTTTGCACCCTCTGTGAAACCAACATGGACGCTGCAATCATCAACGAGGACGCGTAGAGACTGTTGTCCTTTCAAAAAAAGCATAATTGTAAGAGAATATACCCCACCTATTCTAGTTATCAGGGTCCCTATACTATAGAACCCTACTATAGATCCCTTATAGAACCCTTTAAGGATCCTCGTAAAGGAACCCCACTTTCGATCCCATATGAAGGGAACCCTATTATAGATCCCGTTTAGAACCCTGCTATAGATCCCTAAACAGAACCCTGGCTTTGGGCTCCCTTTTTGTCATGGCCTTGGGATCCCTTTTTGCAGGCATCGACTGGTCTTGCTCCGACGTCACCATCATGTTTCTTGGCAGCATGTTCCTTAGTCCCTGTAAAGTATGCTACCTACTGCTAGAAAGATTACGACAAAGACTACGGGAAGGGTGGCTTTGTTCGGCTTCGGGTTTAGGAACTAGGGATTGTCACGTTTAAAGTTCAGGTTAATGGATCCGGATGCTGGGATCAGGGCTTGGGGTATAGGTTTTGCGGTTCCCAGAGAGCCCAATACCCCTTAAATTAAGGCCGTATACCTTAAAATTATCAGGGGCTTCATATTTTGGTTTTGACTATATTCCTCAATTTATGGGCATTGGGAAGTCCCCGTAAAGTATATTGCCTTAATACACCCAACACTCAAGTATAGTTGTTCAAGGCACTCAGACTTCTCGACGAGTGTGCCCAAGTCGTGTTGCGGTCGAGATTTGGGGTCTTATGGTTGATGATATAAATCCTGGGCTTCCTTTAAAGGGATCTATAAGGGTACCTTTAGGGGTCCTTTAAGGGATCTATAGGGGGTTTAGGGTTTAGGGATATAAATCCTGCATTACCTTAAGGATCCTAAACTGTGGGAACTATGGTATATTCCTTATTATGGGTAATGCTTTCGGTGTTCGGGGTTCCGCAAGTGGGGCCCCCTGTTGGGCCCAGGGCACATGGCAGGCATTGACCTCCCCCAGGCCTGAATTCCACTCCTGCTTAGAGGACCATGGGACTCAGTAACTAGGGTTACAAACAAGGTCAATATAGTTATGGCTACTTATATTTCCAATCAAGGTACTTATAACCTTACTTACTAAGTCTCCAATCAAGGTACTTATAACCTTACTTACTCAGTCTCCAATCAAGGTACTTATAACTTTACTTACTAAGTCCCATGATCCTCCAAGTGAGGACGAAGAAGACCATGACCGTCACCGACCAGCTCACGGGCAAGAACGTGACCCGCAAGGGCTGGAGCCACTCGGCGAGGGAAGTCTCGAACGCCCTAAGCCCTAAACCCTAAACCTTAAACCCTAAACCCTAAACCCTAGACCCTAAACCTTAAACCCTAAACCCTAAACCCTAAACCCTGCGTCTGCGCTGCTAAGTGGCTCGCGCTGTTCGCTCAAAAACCCAGCAATCGATTGCTAAACGGCTCGCAAAAGCAACCCAGATATTTTGGCTCTGTTGTCTGCTTAACTGCTAAACGGCTCGGGTTTGTCACTGCAAATGCAGTAGTAATCCGGCGAGAAATGAGAGATGCAGAAACTTCGCTTTCAGTTTTTACACTGCTATGTGGCTGGAGCTGCTCTCGCAAATCGAAAGCCACACCCCGAAGACCAAGGACTGAAAGTTTTGCCTTGCTCGGCCTCTAAACTGCTCATTGCCTCACAAGGCCCAAATCGGAGGATGTGGTCTATGAAAGCATCAAAGGCAGCCAGAAGAAGGAGAAACTTTGGCCAACTGCTAAACGGCTCGCTTGCGACCGTCGCAAAGACTGCGACGTTTCACGTCCCGTCTCCCTCTCGTGCTGCTCGACACCGCGATTGGGAGCGTCTCAAAGCCCCTAAAAAGGCTCGTAAGACAGCAGAGGAAGAGAAACTTTGGCCAACTGCTAAACGGCTCGCGTGTGACCGATGCTAAAACTACGATGTTTCAGCTCGCCCTCGCCCACGGGGTCCCTAGCTGCAGAAACTAGCTATGCACTGCTAAACGGCTCGGGCTGTTCGTGCGCAGTAAGCCGGAGACTGGAATCTTTACCTTTGCCAGGCTTCTAAACTACTCGATGGCTCATGAAGGCCTAAATCGGAGAGTGTGGCCTTAAAGAGACGCAGAAGAAGGAGAAGCAGAGGAAGAGAAACTTTGGCCAACTGCTAAACGGCTCGCGTGTGACCGACGCTAAACACGCAGAAGAAGGAGAAATTATGGCCAACTGCTAAACGGCTCGCGTGCAAGCCAAACGGGTGGGCACGAAAGAAAAACTGCTGTCCCTCCCTCGCCCGCGGAGCCCCTGGCTGAAAGAGCTGGCTTTGCGCTGCCTGCAGACGGCCAAATTACTCCATGTCGCCCTTTCCGGCACATACGAACCTGTTTGTAGCGATAAACGCGAGCCGTTTAGCAGTTGAGTACAGAACAGAGCCGAAATATTTGGGTTGCTTTTGCGAGCCGTTTAGCAATCGATTGCTGGGCTTTTGGGCGAACAGCGCGAGCCGGTTAGCAGTGCAGACGCGGTTTCTGCAGCTAGGGGCCCCGCGCGCGAGGGAGACGGGGCGAGCCATTTAGCAGTTTTTTGTTGTTGCCTTAAGGAGGTGGGTGCATGAAGTGCCTGCAGAGACCTCAGCTTCACGATAGCACGACACGCTCACGCCACGCCTCACGTGCCGGTGCCTCAGTTGTCTGGTCTTGCTTTTAAACTAGAATAGTTGCCGCAGCTCTCGGCTGGCGTCGACCCAAGTCTCAACTGTAGATCTGCTCGGTTTCCGACCCGCCATGGCCACTGCAGCCGACCCCGCCGCTGCTGCCCTCCCAGATGCCGCTCTGCTGGTACGGGAGCCTTGGATTACGCGCATCCTGGATGGCAACAAGATCTGGGAAATGCGAGGCTATCGCTGCTCGCGGCGAGGTCGGATCGCATTGGCGTGTACGGGGACGGGGCTACTATATGGCGAAGTCGACATTGTGGATTGCCTTCGTGTCGGCTGTTTGGACGCAGGCGGGACCCTTGTCGCGAATGGCCGCCACGAGGACTTCATGATGCTCCCGCAGAACCTTCCGAAACACGGCCTTTCTACCGCCGACGTTCGAGCCTTCGGGTACAAGCAGTGGTGGGCTTGGGTGCTAAGTTCGCCACGGCGATACGATGAGCCGAGACCATACCATCACCGAACAGGGGCAGTAAACTGGATCAAGCTCCACGCCGCTTCCGCCGTCGAGGACCGCGAGCCTGCCCTGAAGCGGCCTTGTAGGAGGAGGAGCCCCGCCAACTAGACATCGAAGCCATTTGCTGTGCAGTTGTAGTTGAAGTTTCACCTCAGAACGTATGCGACTGTCCGTCACTGTGACCAAATGAAGCCGAAGTTGTTGTTCCGCCTCATTACCTGTTCTGCGGTCCGACGTGCAGCTGTGTCCGCAAACACGACCGTAGCTGTGGCAGCTGTTTCGATCAAGGATTTCAAAGGAATCTGCCTGCTTTGAGCCTGCTTCCTCGTCATGGGCGGGCGGCCGCAGCGGCAAGTATGGCAAGGGCAGCAAGGGGCAGTGGCAGGCCTCCGAGCGGCGTGGCAGCGATGGCGAGCCGGCGGAGCATCATCTGCGGCCGGTGGATGGGCGCTGGCACCTGAACAAAGCCAGCCTGCGACCTTACGCCTCGCCCAGCGGCTCACCCTTCTACACCGCGAGGCAGCAGTCGGACACCGATTTCCTGAGTCTCAGCACCGTGGCCAACGCCCAGCAAACTTGGACGACTGAAATCTGTAATCGCCCTGGAATCGCTCTCAGCGAGGCCGGCAGCACGATCAACATGGGCAAGAGCTTACGCCGCAGAGGACGCGACAGCTGGAGAGAAGCTCGGCTTCAAAGGCGTCGTGGACATGCTGGACACTGGAGGCGGAGGACGGCAAGAAGTTCCTCGCAGCCGCGGCTACTTTCGACAAGTTCGACGAGAGTCCCAAGCAGGCGGCTGCTCTGGACACAGCCGCCAAGGCATGGGTGAAGTTCCTCAGCACCGACACGAAGAGCAAGGCCAAGCGGGTGCAGCGGATGGTGAAAACGGCAGCGAAGAGCTATCTGTTCGGTATGGAGCTTCTGCAATGGCTGGCTGCCATGGAGCATCGCGATGGCTGGGCTTCGAAGATGAAGCCTATTGAAGCCTATCAAGGGCCTGCAGCCGGACAAGCTGCAGAGGTGGATCCGATCGCCTTCGGAGGATCGTCGGTTGATGGAAGCCCTGCTGGCTGCGTACCGCGCACAAGTGGATGTCCGCCCGGAGGGCAAGACCCATGGTCTTTCCGACAGCGACGGAAGCGAGCCGGCGGCGGCCAAGAGCAGTTCGTGTTCTAGGAGCGACAGCAGCGACAGCGATGACCGCCGGGGTGAGAAGCGCAAGAAGAAGGCCAAGAAAGACAGCGATTCCAGCAAGGCTAAGAAGAGCAAGAAGAAGGACAAGGAGCGGCGAGGCAAGGAAAGACAAGAAGGAGGACCATCCCAAGAGGAAGAAGAAGGCTGGCAAGGATAAGAAATCGCTCCAGGCGTCCAGCAGCTCCGGCAAGACTTCGAAGCGTGTTGACGACGAGAAGCCCAGCCCCGTGGACAGCTTGACGCGCAAGATCCGACGAATGACTGGCCTCACTGCCGAAGGCCGTATTGCCGTCAAGGACACCGACCTCTACGATGAGATCCAATTCGATAGCGCAGAGGCCACCCTGACGGATGTGCTGACACGCTTCTTCGAAACCCAGAGCAGCAAGGAGGAGTTCGACAACTGGAATGTCAAGGCACTGATCCAGGGCAAGTGCGTGGAGATCTCCGCCCCTACCACGCCTGCCACTCTGTGCAAGGAGGTCGTTCTGATCCGCAAAGGCGGCTGAGTCGGCAGAGGTCCGGGAACCTCCGGTTAATTTGCAGCCACAGTAGATGGCGGGAGGTTGTAGCACAGTCCTGCCCCAGTGGCGGCCGAGATCCCTTGTGTGTCAGCAAAAGCTGGCCTGTGATTGCTTTCTGTGCGTGGTGCAGAGCGAGGCAGGAGGCAGTGGCACAGTCCTGCCCTCAGCGACTGCGTGCGAGCGGTGACGAAAAAGAATCTTTTGTCGGGGGGGGTGGCAGCAGAGTAGTTTCTCGACGAGCTGAAGCATATCTTGCCTACCTCGGAGAGCTCCGTTTGGCTCTAGTCACTAGAAACTAGTATCACCCTATCAGGCAACACGCAACACGTGGCACCATGCCACGGGCTTGCATCGGCATGGACGGCGTCCCCTGCTGCTTCTCCACTTCGTCTGCCGGCCGACCTGCGCAGCCCAGCCCGGGCCACCTGCAATGCCTCTTCTGCGGCGATCTGGCCCGCCTCGAGGACGTTCTGAACGGACCGGGGGGCAAGCCTTTGGTTTTGCGGATGCTGTGTGCTGCTGAGCTCGCTTCGGTTTTGTCTACGGTTAGTTTAAGCCGGCTGGCTTGCCTGTTTGCCCGTTTCCGACTACTCATCGAGCCGAGGCTTTGCGCTCCATGAACGAAGAAACCTACGAGAAGGCCATGGCACGCTTGCTGGAGGTGACGCCGGAGCTGTCTGAGCTCGATTCACTGGTTTCGGAGCAAGTTGCTGAAGTCCCGCCTCGCAAAGCCAAGAAGACGAAGTCCGCGGCCGGCGTCCTCAAGATACGACGGGTGAGTGGCATCTCCGCCGCGGGGAAAATCTTAGTCCAGGATGCAGATCTCTACGACGAGGTCGATGTTGGCGATACGGATACCATGCTCCTAGAAGTTCTGCAAGGTTTCTTCCGGGCCCAAGGTGCAGATCAAGAGCTCCGTAATTGGAGGATCAAGGCTTTGGTGTCGGGCAAATGCATTGACGTGAATGCGGAGTCCACGCCTGCGATGCTCTGTTCGGAAGTGGTACTCTGCAAGAAAGGCGGCTGAAGATGCGAGCCTGCACGTCTGAGGCGACAGTATCTGGAGCGACTGAGGCATGTAGACCGTCGACGGCGGGAGGTTCCGGCACAGTCCTGCCGAGCGGCCTGCGAATGTGTCACCCCGAACAACATTTCCAGCAGCGGTGCGACTGCGACAGACAAAAGGTACCTGCTCCCGTCCACGAAGCCAGTTTCCTCATATCTCGGACCTCACGCGTACTCATGCTCGGGAGTTCTCGTCTTGACGCATCTCCGTCGCCGTTTTTTTTGCGAATTGCCTTCCTGGTCGATCGCCTGCCTCGAGATGCTGCGAAGATAGATCAATATCGCATTCAATGCTCGCGGTTGTCCATGCAGCGACTTCGTCGAATGACGTATTATCTGTTTTCTGGGTATGAGACAAATGTTTGCAAAACCAACCCTAGTAAGCCCACGCACTACTACTCCTTTCCGGTTGAGACATACATGCAGCTTCCCTTAGACTGCGCCTGGGCCCCGTTGAAAGTAACGGCCCCCGTCGGTGATGTCCAAGCCCCCGCTGGGGTGCCCAGAAGACTTTAGAACTAAACGCTAAAATGCTTGAACTCAGGGCGGTCTTGGGGTGGGCTGTCTGCTACGCAACAGTGCGAGCGGCCTGGGTGTGCACACACCAGCGAGCACCCATGACGTTACCAAACCCTAAACCCTAAACCCTAGACCCTAAACCTTAAACCCTAAATCCTAAACCCTAAACCCTAAACCCCCAAGCCCAGGCTTTGGGAGGATCTTGAGGCTTCGGGTTTCAGACCGATGTAAATCATCACCAATACTCTTTTGGGTTCCGTATTATGACTTTGGCATAATGGGCCCCAAAACCCTATTCTAAGTATGAAGGCCTTTATATTACTTTCTCGCACTCCCGGCCCGGAGGCGATGTGGAGTGCTGCGAGGAGCACCACTGCGACGAGTTCAAGATCCCGCGGGGCTCTCAGCAAGGTTCACCTGAGCCCCAGAAAGCCGGGTAACTACAAGCTTCGGCTTTGGGCTGGGAGACCATGTGCTGGGCCGAAGGGTTTAGGGTTCAGGGTTTAGGGTTTAGGGTTTTAGGGTTTTAGGGTTTTAGTGTTTGAGGGTTTTAGGGTTTAGGGTTTAGGGTACCTGGTTGCCCAAGGCAGTAAGAGTTCGAGTTGGGTACCTTGGGATCCTCTGCTCGTCGTCCCACCGAAAAGCAGCTCTTGACAGTGACCTCAGAAGTGCGTAGTTCGCACACTTCCAATCAACTTTGCCCTGTGGATAACCTCCTAAATCAGTCTTCTGACAGGGTTTGGGATTTTGCCAATTCCACGGGGTGAACGCAGGTCTTGTGAGTTTCGCCCCTGAGAGTAGGAGTGTCGTTCGCCCGTCGGAGACACTACACAGACTACGCATCCGTCGAATAACATTCCTCAATGCAGGCTTATAGTATCATGTACCCCCCTAGATTTACATTCACAAGCCACCAAGCTTACTCTCTCTCCAACCTGAGCCGCGGGTCCTAGCGGAAGTCCGAAGCCGAGACCAACCCTGCACGCACGCATCCTGTTTCGTACCCGAAATTCTGAGTAAACCCCGAAACCCTACAGCCCGAAACCTTGAATCCACAAACTTCAATCGAAAGTTTTGGATTCCTTTCTATGAACATATGGGTTTGCAGCCCTTAACCCTCAGCAGAACCCTACACCCCTGAACCCCTAAACCCTAAACCCCTGAACCCAAAAACCCTAAACCTTAAACTCTAAACACAGAGCCCTAAACCAGCTTAAACCCTTAAGGGTTTGCCTTCGGCGGCAAAGGAAGGAAATGCAGAGCCTTTGGAAGCTCAAGGCCCCCGCCTCTGAGGGGGGGGGGGCGCCGTTTTGGCAGAAGCTTCGGGTTCAAGGTTTTTAGAGATTTTCTTGATTTGAAAGATTATTAGTAGAGATTTTGGGCGTGTTTCTTTAAATTGGTTTAGTTTTTTTTTGTTTCCTTTTTTTGGCTTTTGTTGAGGGCTTGATTTCGAACCCTAGGCCCTGAAATTATAGTATCCTGATGGGAGGGGGCTCCAAGTAGATACCTACGGTTGATGATTTAAATCCTGCACTACCCATAGTACAGAATATACCGTAATTCCCATAGCATAGGGTCCTTAAGGTAATGCAGGGTTTATATCATCAACCGTAGTTCTCAAAAAGGTTCCTTGTTCCCTCAGGATCCCTTGTACCCTCTCCCCTTGAACCACCCTCCCTTAAGGACCCAATAATGGGCCTAAGGGGCCTGAATGGTTAGAAAAGGGCTTCGGGGCCTATTACCTACTAATACACTAATATACCAATCTACTAGTATATTCGTGCATTCGTATACTAGTATCTTCGTATATTAGTATGTTCGAACATTAGTATATTGGTATTAGTATACTGTAAGTGTCTGGCATCTTTCAAGAGGAGTTGCCCGAAGAGGCCTCCCCAAGCAACCCGGGATCCCAAACGATACGCTGCGAGAAGAAGCTCAGCCCCTTGAAGATGGGACGTCCTCACAGTAAGTGAGATCTATCCTTTGTAGGGTTCTGTATCATGGTTTCGATTTAGAGTCCCTCAAAAAGGTAGGTGTTTTGGGCCGCAAGTAAACCCTAAAGAAGCAGGACTTAAAGTTTTCGCACTGTCAGTGTTCCATTGCTTGATGTGGTGGCCGTCTCACGTGTTCGACCACTGGGGCATACAGAAGTAGGCCCAAAACCCTCAACCCGAAACCCTCAACCCTCACCCCCAAAACCCTAAACCGCCCCTTCTTTTGAGATGCCATGACCGCAGGACAAGGCTTCCTCTATCCGCGGCGTCCACCTGAAAGACTGCTGTGTTTCAGCGGCAGTCAGTCCTGATTCGCTACTGTAGGTTTAGGATTCAGGGTTCAGGGTTTATTCGGAAGAATTACCGACATGATTCCTTCGAGCTCCTGATTCGGAGTATAGTACACTGTAACCCCAAACCCAATTCCGATTATCAAGTTCCTATTATCAAGGCGCTTCTGTTAGTTCATCTCGCTGCTTCATGTCTTCTTTCGTTTCCTACCTCTTCCTTTCCTTTCACTCGGCAGTTCTACGTAGTTTTTGCTTTGGGCTCGCCGCGGATGGATGTGCGAACTCCGAGAGTTTTGTAGGCCTCAGGATGGAAGACTTGTCGTTGCAGTAGAGATCAGCCACTGGAGCTTGGGTTTGTAGGCATCTAGAGCTGAGTGTCGGATTCTGAGTTAACCTTTGCGTGTACAACAGATAATATAGAACCTATAGTATAAAATCTATACGTAATATAAGATGCAATACAGAATATATGATGTATACAATAGCCCTAAACCCTAAACCCTATACCCTAAACCCTAGCCGACTCGCCAAGGTGAGCCCAAGCTCTGCTCGGACTTCAGCAGCGCGGTGTGAAGATGAAAACTTTTGGGGGTTTAGGGTTTTCGGGTTCAGAGTTTAAGGGTTTAGGGGTTTGGGGTTCAGGGGGAAAAAACCAGAGAACCCAATATCCCTTAATTAAGGACTATACCTTAAATCATAATAGGATACCTAATATGATTTAAGGTATATTCCTTAATTAAGGGAGATTGGGTTCTCTGGGGGGTTCCAGGGGGTTTTCGGGTTGCGGGTGCAGGGTTTAGGGTTTTAGTGTTTCGGGTTTGGGCTTTCGGTTTAAGGTTAGGGTTTTACGGGGTTTGGGGTTAGGCTATGGAATCTGGGGATTCTGGTTGAGGTTTAGAGTTTCGGGGGTTTAGGGGGGTTTCGGGTTTATGGTGTTCGGCACTGAATTCAGGGTTAAGGATGTAAGATGAGGATTTGGGCATGAGGAAGCAGGGAGTGTGGGAAGTAGCAGTTTGAGGTTCGGGGCACACGAAGAGCCATTTGCTTCGCTTGCAGGTGTCGTTGTTGAGAAGGATATACCATGCTATGCCAGACTATACTTTACTATACTATGATACAGGATGACATCCGAGCAGAACCAACCAGTATAAGGCAACATAGTTCTAATGTAATGCACTATACAACACTATACTCTAGAGTGTCAAACCCCAAACCCCAAAACTCTCGACCTCTGAAACCTGAGCTCTTGCTCGCCAGAGGGTCCTGAGATGTTCCGCGCTTGCCAAGGCTGCCCTAACACCACCAAGACGAAGCCCAAGGCGCCTTCGGATCAGGATGGGGTGCTGGCAGGTGCCTGGGCCCGAAACCCAAAAAGGGTTACTGGTTCATTGTGAGGGTTTCTCGCGTATATTTAAAGGGGACTATGAAGGTTACTAGTCGAAACATGGGCTTCTACTGTAGGTAACGTAAGGGTTACTAATCACAAGAAGAGCTTCATTTTGAGGCTACTGTAAGGGTTACTAATTATACTCAGGGCTTCTTTGAGGGGGTTACCGTTTATATAAGGGTACCATGGAGGTTCTATACCGTTTAGGGGGAAACTCTGCTTTCAGGTTTTGGGACTTAGTAAGTAAGGTTATAAGTAGGATATAATTAGGATGGCCCCACTTAGGGGACTTATAACCCTAATTATAACCTACTTACTAAGTCCCATGATCCTCTAAGTGGTTTCAGGTTTTGGGACTAGGACACTAGATCTTCCCCTGAAGCATTCGTTGAGCATTGGGGTGTAGGGTTTAGGGTTGCGGGTGCTCTACACCTGAAACCCTGATTCTAGCATCCGAATCCCTTCACCTGAACTTTAGACGTGAAATCCCTACCGTTGATGATATAAATCCTGCATCACCTGAAGGACCCTAAACTACGGGAATCATAGTATATTCCTTACTATTATAGGTAATGCAGGATTTATATCATCAGCCGTAGTTCCTAAGCCCTGAGCCGAGAAAAGCCACCCTTCCAGTAGTCTTTGTGGTAACCCTAGGACCTGGAGTAGGCCCTTATTCCCTTGTTTTAGGGCTCTGGTTCCCTTATTAAGCCCCTTTAAACCAAAAAGGGCACCCTTTTTATTCCTAGGTTACTCTTGGGTCTAGAACCAATCTAGAAACTCTGAAGCCTTGAAACAGAAAAGCCCTAAACCCTAAGCCTCAAACCTCGAGACCCTAAGCTTCAAACCCGAGACCCTTTTCTTCCCTGAACCCCCTAAACCCTCAACCTTCAACCCCCAAAGCCTGAGACCGAGGCTCCACCGAGGAGGAGTGCTGTGAGCCCTTGTACTGCAGCGCCTACGAGTGCAAGAGCCCGGGCTCCCAGGAGATGCGGATGTCTTGTTGCCTTTTTCCGGGGGTCGGGTTCAGGATTTGGGGAGGTCTCTAAATGAGGCTCCCTTTTTTGGGTCCCAAAGGAAATGTTGTTGTGAGCTTGAGGGAGTTTGGCGCTCCAGGTGACAAGAAGCAGAAAAAGGTGAAACCCGAAGAGCGCCGCGGCTCCACGGACGAGGCGGCATAGGGATGAGCTGGTTTAGAGCTCGGAGAGTCGAGGTTCTTTTGTTCAAGGTTTTTTAAGGGCCTAGGGCTTCGGAGTCTGGGTGAATCTCATGTGAAGTATTTTTTTCACGCATCAAAAGAGAAGCTCGTTTCTTTCGCTTCTATTGGTCTCATGGGCTGTAGAATCCTAGGCGTTAGGGTCTGGGATGAGGGCTTCGTGTCGGCGCAATGTTTATGGTCGACAGTACCTGTGCGTGTTGTAGAGACTAGCAGCAGTGGCATAATTAGTTCAGGAGGATCTTTGTGGCGCATGAAGGGCTCTTACCCCTGCATCGTGAACCCAAACCTTATGCAAGTGGCCATGAAACTCACAGGCGAAGTCCTGTCCTAACCCTTAACCCTAAACCCCAAGACCTATGGCCCAAAAGTCGCAGCGAGAGAGGAGTGCTGTGAAGACAAGTTCTGCAAAGACTACAAGTGCTCCGACCCCACCAAGTGCTGGTCCCAGGGAAGAGAAGTGCTTTGAGTTTAGGATTTGGTTCAGGGGTTTTGTGTTTTAGCGCCTTTGGGTCAAGGAGTTAAGGGGTTCAAAGGATGTTTTGGGCAGCAGCTGGGCCAGTGTGATCACAATCACGAGGGGGTGCTTTCCTTCATCCGAGTCTGCAAAGGTTGTTGGTTACAGTTCGTGGCCTCTTTGACAGTTGGACTTTGGACTCTTGAGTTTGCTTCGGGCAAACTTCAAACCCTCAAAGGCTCAACCTGACAACGCCCAAGGCTTGGAATTGAGGGTCAGAGGACGAGGATTCCTTGCTTCTGGGCTCGAGCACTCTTGCAACCCCTTCGGAGACAGTCGGGCTAGGAAGATAGTGCAGATAGTGCTTGAAGCTTCACCCGCTCTAAATCCTACTTGGAGGTTCATGGGTTTCTCGCAAGGTAACCACTGCCCCCCCGCCCTAAAGCCTTGAACTAAAGCCGCAAACCTCGACCCTTACCGTACATGGCAGCCCCTTTCGGCGGAAGATGGCACATCTTGAAACCACACTCAACCATGTTTAGGAGTGTGAGGTTTGGTGTTTTGGGTGAGGTAAACCCAAACCCGAAATTAACCCTTAAAGCTTAAACCCCTGGACCCCCAGACCCGAACCCCTAAACTTTAAACCCCAAACTCCCAAACTGTGAGTCGGTCATAGGTCTCCATAGAACCCAAGACTTAAAGCTTCAACCCTAACCCCAAAGCCCTCAATGAGGGTTGTGGGTCAGCTCCGACTCAGAGGGGGCGGTGAGGGGGAAGAAGAAGAAGAGGAGGTTCCTGAACTCCTGAACCTCAAACCCTGAAGCCCTGAACCTTAAAACCTAAACCCGGAGCGTTTCGTGCATTCCATTTTTTGTTGTTCACTCTGCCCGGGTATCAGAACGATTAGTAGTAATTGCTATTCATGTTTACTGTCACTCTTACTATTATTCTACCATGATTGCTGTCAATATTTTTCACGGTGCCCAGGTGGATCCATTTCTCGGACCAGCCAGGTCCTCAGACACCTCGCAGGGATTGTTAAAACAGGGTTTCGGGCTTGGAGTGCGTGTGCAGATAAATACATACATGAATAAATATACATATACATACCAATAAAAACAAATAATATATATATATATATATATATATATATATATATTTATACACACGTATAGATAGATAGATAGAAGCACACTCAACGGAAACAAGACAGGCAGCCAACATCTGCTGGGACACTCAAAGTGGAAAAGGAGGGACCCTTAATGGGGGCCCCTACCCCATAATGGGCTATATATTGGGTATATAATAGCTTTTTTTAAGGGTATATACCTAGGGGTCCCTATATAAAGGGTCCCTCCTTTTTTACCCTTGGAGACACTGTTACAAGCATCGTATACTAGAACCTAGGAAGTTGGAACATCAACATCCTCATGCCCTGTCTGGGGGTTCCCTGTCGAACTTCGGGAGGGCAGGGATCCCGGAATTGACCACCAGGAAAACCTTCTCAAAGTGGGTTTAGAAGCGTGTTCCCTTCAGGCTCCTTTGAGGCTTCCTTGATTGTTTGTTTAAGGGTTGGTGTACTTAGAGGATCATGGGACTTATTAAGTAAGGTTATAAGTAGGTTATAATTAGGATAACCCCACTTAGGGGACTTATAACCCTAATTATAACCTACTTACTAAGTCCCATGATCCTCTAAGTAGGGTCAAGACCTTGCATTGCCCATGCCCTAAATGCTGAACCTCGACTGCGAACAACCGGGAGGGAGCCTCAAGTTTTCAAGGAGATCCGGCCAATAAGTCTCCACAGCGATTTGGGGCCCAAGTAATTCGTAGCATTCCTCAGGATTCCGTAACTCTATGATGGCAGACCTCAACATTCTATGTCGGTAGGTATTAAGGCCCCTCTGTGAGCAGGTTCCCCAAGAGCTTTTCCAGGCTTGGCCCAAGCAACATCGACCGCCGGGGCAGCTCCGACGAGGCGAATCTGCGGGATTCTCGGGGTTTTGGGTCTTCGGTGCTCTCAATTGAATATTATGACTTTTTGTTAGCAAGTGTTGTGTCACATTTCTTATGGGCCATGCAGGCCGCGAATTGGTGCGGTATCCACCAAGAAAATGCCCTTGAGGCCTTCGCCTGAGACCCATCAGATCATTGTAGGGCTCTTGCGGCGTTGCGGAATTCCGTTTCGAGGAGACAACAACTCATTGATAACTCGAGTCGGGTATCTCGAAAAAGTCACCAAAGCCATTTCTTGGAGTTCCTCATTGTCAGTATAGTTATAATATACGATACCCCAGAAAACACATTTACACCCATGAAGGTCCAACATTAAATCTCGAATGGTATATCGTGAGACCTGAGCGGTTGTCAATATTAGGGTCCCTTTTTAGGTCCTTATTATAATACGGCACCTAATATTTAGGCGACCCAAAACGGGACCATAATTTTGACAACCACCCACCTGACGCAGGAATGCTGCGAGAAGCTTATCTGCCGGCCTGAGATCTGCCCCTGGCCTGCAGCAGTTTCGAACCCTAAACCCTAAACCTTAAACCCATCCTTCAGGGATTCGGGGCTTTGGGTTGGGGGGGTCGGTCTTTCCAAAACCCAGAGCCCAGACCCTAAAACCCCAAAACCCTCCCTTTGGAGAAAGGGTGCATATCAACTTAAAAAAAACTCAAAACTTGAACCCGGTTTGGGTTTGGATTTCGGAGGCTTGGCTCATGTTTCAGACTGGCTTCGGGAAGTAATTTAAGGGTGTGAGCACAGCAGTAGTAATATCAGCTCTGTTGGAATGTCACCACCTTTTGGTCCCCGGATACTAATAAGCATCATGTACTTTTATATGTCCGAAAACGCTAGCCTAACTATGAGGGTCCCCTGTGTGATTTACCTCATCCCTGGTTCTGCGGGCATCCGGGAGCCCCTTCCGTGATCAAGTCCGAGCCGCGAAGCGATTCTGAACTAATAAGCCCTAAACCCTTGATCCCGGACCCAACAGCCCAGAGCCTAAACCCCGAAATCCTAAACCCTGAACCTTCACCGTCTGAGGCAATCCCAGCACCATGTGGAAGGGAAAGGACTGCTCTTCTATGAGGGACCCAGTGGATCCGCCATGGGACCTAAAATCGCATTCGGTAGGTTTCCTTACTATAGGGGTTTAGGGTTGAGGGGTATAGTATGATATGCACAAAAACCCTGTTCGCATGCCCCCCGCAAGAAAGCCAAGACCCAAAACCCCAAGCCCCCTAACGGCCCCAAACTTCAAAAGCTACGGTTGATGATGCAAATCCTGCATTACTTTCATGGCCCTACACCGAATTATGGTATATTCTTTTTCTTGGGTAATGCAGGATCTATATCATCAACCGTAGTTTTTGGGAGCACTTTCTGTCAGGACGGTCTGGAGACCCTCCAGGGTAGCACCATGGCCCAATGCTGCGAGCCCATCTACTGCGACTTGGCGACAGCTTTCATGGTCTTACACAGGCCCCATCTCCCCTGAATCCTAAGCCCGAAACTAAACCCCTAAACTCCTAAACCCCTAAACCCCTAAACCACTAAACTCCCAAACCCCTAAACCGCCAAAGCCCTCAACCCCCAAACCTCCAAACCCCTAAACCCCTAAACCCCTAAACCCCTACACCCCTAAACCCCTAAATCCTTAAACCCTAAACCCCTAAACCTCCCCAAAGCCCTAAACCCCTAAACCCCCAAACCCCTAAACCCCTAAACCCTGAACCCTTAAACCCCTAAACCCCTAAACCCTAAACCCCTAACCCCCTAAACCCCTAAACCCCTAAACCCCTAAACGAATGGTAGGATTGGTCTATAAGGGTTACTCTAAGGGATCTATACTTACCTTCGGTTAGTAGGGAATGGAGGAATGGGGTACAAGTATGACTACTATTACTACCATTCTTCCATTCCCCACTAACCAAAGGTAAGTACCGGCGAGGGTGGCTTCCGTTTCGAAGGTTTCCCAACGGTTGCGGGTTTTGGGGTTGAGGGTTTGGGCACTTTCATGACGCGGAATGGAGGGGTTGTCGGCCTTATCCTCTTATTCCGAAGGTGGGAACTTCACCTGCGACACCGACGACGATGGCGACGGTGACGGAACCATGTGGTACAAGAAGGTGGACACGAATGCGCCGCTTGACTGGCGAGTTTTGGGCGTCTTAATCGTTAGAGTAGGGGTTTCCGGAGTGGATCATACTCTAGTTTACCCAAAGCCCTGCAAGCCCCAAAGCCTAAAGTTTGCAATCTATGAAGTTTTGAAACTTCACGATCAGTCCTGCGGGGGCCTTGGCATGAAGAATGTAGGGCCTCGCGGTTTAGGGTTTAGGGGTTTAGGATTTGGTGGCCTGGCTAAGAATCTAAGCTGAAGTTCCTTGAAATCCGAAAGAGCCGAACACTCCGCCATACTGAGATGGGACTAGGCCCTTGTTTAGGCTTTAGGGTTTAGGGTTTCAATTCCATCCAACGCACACACTCTTCTCCTTCTTCAGCCTCGAAATAAGAGATGGTCTGCACAGGTACAAGTGGCAGGGAAGCACCAACGAGGACCCGGCCGGGGCGCAGTTAAGGGTTCCGGGCGCTTGCCCAGAGAATCCAATATCTCTTAATTAAGGAATATACCTTAAATCTTATGAGGGATCCTATTACAATTTAAAGCATATTCCTTAATTAAGGGGTATTCGGTTCCGCGCGCGTGGCTCTTCTGGCCAGGAAGACACAAAGAAAGCTCCTGAGCCCTTTTCTTTGTCATAGTTGGATCGCAATTTAGATTTTTTATGAGCACCTAAACCAATAATTAAGGACTAACAATGTCCAATCCTATGAACTAGTTTTTCCTGGATACGACCTCCCGAAACCCCGAACCTCACACCCTGTGGCAAGTAGCATGCGTTCCCGAAACTAGTGGTGTAGAAAAGTTCCAAGTCACCAACCCCGGCTTTTTCAATTGTCAGCCTGACTACTAGGAATAATTCGACTGAGGCTCTGGGATATTCTAGAGTCTAAGTATGCCGAGACTAGAGGGAATAGTCTTTCTGATCTGAATATTGTTTTGGGTGCATTCCGTTGCTTAAGCACAGCTTGCCCCTTCCAGTCTACGTCCTTTTCACATGCCCTTGCAGGAGTGCTGTAACAAGTGTTGTTAGGTATCAGCCGTCTCTCTGTTTCACCCACATGCTGCGCATCACGTGGATGCTGTCAGGGGAAGAGGTGGCGAGATTTTCGGTGGAGGAGTTGAGCGATGTGAAGGCACTAAAGCAGGAACTGAATCGCAAACACTGCCAGCCCACACGATTCAGGCAAAAGCTGTTTCTTTGCGGCGATCCTTTAAATGATTCTGCCCTTCTGGACTCGCCCATGGAACTGCAGCTGGTCTTGCTTCCATATTCCGTGACCTCCGAGACGCAAGCGGAGCTGGCGACTGCCTCTGCCAACGGCTCCGTGTCCAAGGCTCCTTTGGGCAAAGGGTCCCACCGCACCCTGAACCATCACACATATAGGGGCCTTCATAATTGGACTTTTGGGGTATATGATACTAAAATTATCATTAGGAACCCCCAAAGGTTCGAGGTAATTAATGATCCCATGACCATAAGTTCCCCTACACGCAGATTGAGCAGGTTGAGGCCATTTTGCAGCAGCCGCGGCACCCAGACATAGTGGACAAGGACGGTTTCACTGCACTGATGGCAGCATCTCAAAATGGCCAGGCGGAGGTTGTGCCTTTGCTGCTGGAGGCCGGTGCCGACAAGAACTTGGCCGACAATAACGGCTTCACTGCCCTGATGCTGGCATCTTTCGACGGCCACGTTGCAGTTGCGCATTTGCTGCTGGATGCCGGTGCCGACAGGAATTTTGCAAACAACAATGGCTACACCGCCCTAATGTTAGCATCTCTCGGCGGCCACATTCAAGTTGCCCATATGCTGCTGGATGCCGGTGCCGACACGAGCTTGGCCCGCAATGATGGCTACACTGCCCTGATGATGGCATCTGGGAGCGGCCATGTTGCAGTTGCGCATTTGCTGCTGGATGCTGGTGCCGAAAAGGACTTGGCCAACAACAGCGGCTTCACTGCCCTGATGATCGCATCTGCGAGCGGCCACATTGAAGTCGTGCGTTTCCTACTGGATGCCGGGGCCAGGAAGAACTTGGCCAACAACAGCGGCTTCACTGGTCTGATGATGGCATCTGTGCACGGCCACGTTGAAGTGGTGCGTTTGCTGCTAGATGCCGGGGCCGACACGAACTTGGCCGACACTGACGGCTTCACTGCGCTGATGGCAGCATCTCGAAAAGGTCAAGAAGAGGTTGTGCGTTTGCTGCTGGACGCGGGTGCCGGCAAGAACCTGGCCGACAATAGCGGCTTCACTGCCCTGACCTTGGTATCTCTCACTGGCCACGTTGAAGTTGCACGTTTGCTGATTGATTCCGGTGCCGACGCGAACTTCGCTGACACTGACGGCGTCACTGCGCTGATGGCAGCATCTCGGAAAGGTCACACGGAGGTCGCGCGGTTGCTGCTGGAGGCCGGTGCCAGGAAGAACTTGACCAACAACAGCGGCTTCACTGCCCTGATGCTAGCATCTTTCAACGGCCACGTTGAAGTGGTGCGTCTGCTGCTAGATGCCGGTGCCGACACGAGCTTGGCCCACGATGACGGCTTCACTGCCCTGATGATGGCATCTAGGCACGGCCACGTTGAAGTTGTGCATTTGCTTCTAGGTGCCGGTGCCGACACGAACTTGACCAACAACAGCGGCTTCACTGCCCTGATGATCGCATCTACGAGCGGCCACATTGAAGTCACGCGGTTGCTTCAGGCAGCCGGCTTGGACAAGGACTCAACCAACAAGCGGCGACACTGCTTCACTGATGGTCACATCGCCAAACGGCCGAGATGGCCAATGTGTGATGGCAAAGACCGCAGTCCATGAAAATCCGACATTCGAGGTGTCTTAGCAATTAGGTACGGCCATAGAAATTCAATGTGCGACGCTGCTCGGGGGGGTTCCGGGCTGGCGGTGGATGGCCCCTGCATTCAGAGGAAGTATCCTTTGGTTAGACACGTGTTGCTCCCCAATCCTTCCAGCTTCCTTGCCGGCTTTGAGTATGCGTTTCATGGGCCAGAGCAATTCCCATTCTTTTGCATAGCGGGTTTCTTAAAGTTGCGGGATGCCTGACCCAGACCTTAAGGGGCCTTGCAGCATGGATCCCACTTGCATGGAACGGTTTGCAGGAGTGCTGCGTGCCGAAGTACTGCAGCCAGTACACCACCTCCACCCCCACGCAGTGACTGGGCTGTTACGCATTCAGGCTCCAGAAATTCCGCAGGGTAAAGCCCGGACTTCAGCCTTAGTGACCTACAGTCTATGGTGGGTTGAGGTGGTAGCCTACAACCTCATGCTTTGGGCTTCCTGGGGATTGCGGCAGCGCATCTGCTGCAGACTTGATGAATCTGGCCGCTGTCTTGCGGTGATGGGACACATCCTTTACAGCAACTAATGGGTAGCAAGCATGTTGTCGTGCACCTTCCCACAGCAGCTTCTTTCACTGACCTCAGCCCTAAACCCTAAACGCTTAAACCCTAAACCCTCAACCCTAAACCCTAAACCCGAAACACGAAAACCCGAAAACACGCCATAAACGATTTGAGCCACTGATTGGGCCACTTAAAATCCCCAACGTCTGCTGAAGCCTCCAGTCCCAACACCTAAACCCTAAACCCTAAACCCCTAAACCCCACGCATTTTCGCATTTGGGTGTAAACCTGAAGCCCGAACCCTTGCATGCACTCCCAAAGCACCGGGAAGATGGATCCATGTAGTCCATGTAGAACGTACCATATGCTTTTTCCTAGATATATAAATAAAAAATATGAATAAATAAATAATATATATATATATATATATATATATGCATATATATATATACATATATACATATATATATATATATATATATATTTCACCAACCCAGGTGGAAGAGGAAGCCCCAGAAGAACGCCCAGGGAAGCACCGATGTAGAGCCTTGGAACTTTGGAACTCCTTCGTTTTTGGGGGGGGGTTGCGGCGGGGGGGGGGGGGAGTTTGTTTTTTTGTTTTGTTTTTGGGGTCTTGAGGTTAATAGCCTCAGCTGCGGGGATGGCCTGGGTTACCGGTTCAGACTCTCTCCTGCTTTTCGGGGCTTCGTAAGGTGTTTGTTCTGTCGGGCTTTGTCGGGGTTCCGTGTGCAGGCTCCGCGTGCTGGGACTTGCGAAAATTCCAGCAGTACAGCCCAAATCTACCAAAGCCCGAACAACCCTGAGCCGTAAAACTCTAAGACTCTAAGACCGTAATCTTGTGAATCTGAGCCACTTGAGTCCGTAGATTCCGGCTTCAGGCAGATGTATGGTGTGTGGCTTTGGGTTCTCGGGCTTCGGGCGGTTTCAGGGGTTTAGTGTTTAGGATTTGGGGTCTTGGGTTTAGGGCTTAGGGTCCATTCACACCTATATCGAACTCCAAACCCTAAACTGTAAAGCTTAGGTCAAGCCTTTTAGGTGGAGGGATCGCTCCAACATCCAAAGTCACGCCTAAACAACTGGCGGCATAAGCACAGGAATGCTGCATACAATAATTGACTATATCTCTTTTAAGGATCCCCACAAGGACTAGCATTGCTGCTTGTTCAGGAATGCTATGACCAGCTGTGGTGCTCTGACTACTGCTGCGTTGGAGCCGGCTACGTGGCTGCTCCCGTGGGTTTGGCAGCGAACAGTGCCCTCAACCCTGCACCCTAGACCCTAAACCCTAGAAGCGAAAATCCTGAACCCTCAATCCCAGACGTTTGGATCAGTCTTTGGGGTCCGATAGTGCGAAATTTTGAACTCTGAGTTCTGGATGATCGATAATGGCTTTACAAGGGGCCTTCATAATTGGGATGGGGTTTTGGGGCCCGTTATGCTTTTTCTTTATCCTTAAGGCCCCTATCTCAATGGAGGTTCCGGTTTCGGGCCGGGGCTCATTTTTCCCGGGAGCCAAGGGTGTCGCTGAACCCCGAGCTGTCAGATATCGAAGCTTCTCCTTTGGCCCTGAATCTCGGAGGAGCCCTAAACCCTAAAACGGCCTGAGCCCGAATTCGGCACCTACATTACATGCACTCGTGATTCCCCCCAGAGAACCCAATATCCCTTAACTAAGGAATATACCTTAAATCTTATTAGGGGTCCGATTATAGTTTATGGCATACTCCTTAATTAAGGGGCTATTGGGTTCTCTGGGTCACTACTGGTCACGGCTGCCGGTCTCAGACGCTTCGTGTTGCGAGGGGCGCAGACCCAAAAGCCTGACTCCCGAACGGCGAAGCTGAGACCCAGAGCCTCCAAAACTCCTTAATTAAGGAATATACCTTAAATCATAATAAGATCCCTAATATAATTTAGGGTATATTCCTTAATTAAGGGGTTTTGGAGGCTCTAGGGTCAGACCAAGGTTGGGTGAAGAAGCCAGAGGCAGGAACTCGCAGGGAGCCTCGGGGGTTTTTTCAGGGAGCCCAATATCCCTTAATTCAGGAATACACCTTAAATCTTATTAGGGATCCTAGTATAGTTTAAATCTTATTACGGATCCTAGTATAGTTTAAATCTTATTAGGGATCCTAGTATAGTTTAAATCTTATTAGGGATCCTAGTATAGTTTAAATCTTATTACGGATCCTAGTATAGTTTAAGGCATACTCCTTAATTAAGGGGTATTGGGTTCTCTGGGGCCTTTCCGGTCTGCGGTGCGCTGGCGCTTCGGATGAGGGTAGATGGTTTCCCAGAGGACCCAATATCCCTTAATTAAGGAATATACCTTAAATCATGTTAGGGATCCTATTATAACTTAAGGTATATTCCTTAATTAAGGGGTATTGGGATCTCTGGGTTTCTCTTCGAGATGAGCGGTGTCCCTTGCCTCGGCTTTGGTAGAACGAGTGTCTTTCGCGGGTTACGTCGAAAGCTGAACACCGAGACTCCAGAGACCTCAAGCCCAATAGAAACTTGAATTTGAGGGCTTAGGGTCTATAGGGTTTAGGGTCTGGGGTTTAGGAACACGAAGTCTCCAAGCTCTACTACTCTTTTTCAGGTTTGTTTCTCTCTGGTGCCGAGGCCCTGGAAGCACGGATGCCGAGTGCTGCACTCCGGGAAGCGAAGCCGAAGACTTGCCGGACGGAATATGCAGGGTTTAGGTTTCGGGTTTGGGGGGGTAAAGGGGTTTAGTTTCGGTTCCACAGGTTGCCGCAAGGATTCTAGCCGGGTGTGGGTGTTTCTTGGGATTTCGTGGTTCAGCATCTACGGTTTTGGATTCGGGGCTTAGGGTTCTGCATGTGGTTTTTCCATATCGAAACGTATATGATCCGAAGTACCGGGCTTCTGTCAACATCCCCTGAAAACCCTGTATAATTAGCATGAAGCGCAGCCCTCTACAACCTGTACACGACACTTACAAGACCCATAGGACATGTTCAGGGTAATGTAGGAACCTGATTTAAAAAGAACCCTGGGCCTATAACCCCAAAAAAGTAGAGTTCAAAGAAACAACCCCAATAGAGGCCCAAGGTTTCTTAATCAGGTTCCATATATGGGATCCGGAACTCGGCTTAACTCAAAACCTTGAGCCTCAAGCACTAGACCCTGAACCCTACCCCGTGAACCCTGAGCTCTCAACGCCAAACCTCCCTAAACCCTAAACCTAAACTCTAAACCCTCAACCCTTCAACCCCTAAACCTAAACTCTAAACCCTAAACCCTGCAACCCCTAAACCCTAAACCCCTAAAACCCCTAAAACCCCTAAACCCTAAACCCGAAAACTCCCTAAACCCTAAACCCTTTGGGCTGGCGCTAAAGCGCGCAGACGCGCGAGAGCGCACGGCCATAGCAAAAGAATCTGAAGCCTAAAGCCTACTTACAGGATCATGGGACTTAGTAAGTAGGTTATAATTGCGGCTATAAGTCCCCTAAGTGGGGTTATCCTAATTATAACCTACTTATAACCTTACTTACTAAGTCCCATGATCCTCCCAGTAAACCCAAACCCCAAACCCAGAAAATCACAGGACCTGCACACCAAGAAGGCTCGAGCAATGTGGACTCTCTGAGGGTTTTGTCGCAGGGACTGCCGCTGTGGCCTTGGAGTGAATGTTCTGGGTTCAGGAGTTGGAGTTTGGGGAGTTTAGGGTTCAGGTTTCAGGGTTTGGGGTTTAGGGCGTAGGGCTGATTTCTTTTTGCAAAACGGGTTTCTGATCTGGAATGTAAGCTGGATGCCAAAGACAGCCTAGAACTCTGAGCCTCCCCATCATAGCCCTGGGGTGGAGCCAGGTTCGGGATTCAGGTTTTCTGTTCGGGGTTCCGGGTTGTTGTGATTGGTTTGGCAGATTGGTTTAGTTCAGATTAGAAGGCGGGTGGTTTAAGTTTTTTTCGCCACTTGCGTGATTATGTTGGCCTGGTTTGGAGTGTACAGGTTATGGCAGGCGGTTCGAGACCAGAGCCCCCCCGATGCTAGGAAGGAACCGTCAGCAAGCCAAACCTCTGCAGGTGCGCTGAAGCATGTGAGACCCGGTCGTGACCTCTTGCTTGAGAGTCAAAAGAGGGGCACAAGATGCGTGGGCTGGGGGAGTGTGAGTTTCACAGACGGAGTTTGATTCGTTGGAATAAGAAGGCTTCAGGTCTTAGACAACGAGATGCTGCCCAGTCCTCCTCGCCCTGCGCTACTACCATTTCTACTACTACGTTACTACGCTTTTGCTACTGCCACTACTGCCACTACTTCCACTACTTCCACTGCTTCCACTATGTACTTCCACTACTTCCACTACTACTCCACTACTACTCCACTACTACTACTCCACTACCACTACTACTACTACTACCACCACCACCACCACCACGACTACTACTACTACTACTACTACTACTACTCCTCCTCCTCCTCCTCCTCCTCCTCCTCCTGCTGCTGCTGCTGCTGCTGCTGCTGCTGCTGCTGCCACAACAACAACTACTACTACTACTACTACTACGACTACTGCTGCTACCACCACCACTACTGCTACTACTACTACCACCACCGCCACTACCACTACCACTACCACTACCACTACCACTACCACTACCACTACCACTACCACTACCACTACCACTACCACTACCACTACCACTACCACTACCACTACCACTACCACTACCACTACCACTACCACTACCACTACTACTACTACTACTACTACTACTACTACTACTACTACTACTACTTCGACGACGGACTACTACTCTTTCAACTACTACGAAATCACCACCTCCCTGCTTGTACGCATGGCATCTGCTGGTGCTCGTTGTCCTGCTTCTTTGTCCCCGCCTCCCCGGCACCGTGTGGCTTTCTGCTTCCAAGTTTTCCCATCTTAGCGGGGGCGGATCCAGGGGCAAAGTAACACCATGGCCGCAAAGACGAGCGCCGTTATGCTGGCAACGGGAGGCCTGGCGGGATCCGTGTAGGTGTAGGGGTTTCTTTGACAGTGTAGAGGTCCAAAACAAGGATACGACGAGAGGACGATGAGGGAGCTATTCTTTCCCCCACATACATCTCAACCTCCGTTGCTAGGCCAATCTTGAAAACAATTCACCCAATCTTACATTCAAACCGCACCTGCGGTTACTAAACCTGAGCTCCCTCCTACGCCTATGTCTACTTAGAGGATCATAGGACTTAGTAATAGTAACTAGGCTTTTTCATAAGGTATAAGTAGTATAACCAATTCGAGCCCTAATCAAGGTACTTATAACCTTACTTACTAAGTCCCATGATCCTTTGAGTGGACCCTAAACCCTAAACCCTATAGATCCCTTTAAGGATCCCTACAGATCCCTTTAAGGGGCCCTCACTTACTAAGTCCCACGATCCTCCAAGTATGCCTGAGAAGACTTAGGTGGACCGGCGTCGAGCCCAAAGGTCTCCTTCCCGTACGTACTTAAGGGCTCATGGGATTTAGTAAGTAAGGTTATAAGTAGGATATAAGTAGGATAACCCCACTTAGGGGACTTATAACCACAATTATAACCTACTTACTATGTCCCATGATCCACTAAGTAGCCCCATTATAGAGTGGGGGAGGCCTCGCGGCCGCTACCGCCTTCGTCGCCCCCCGGGGAGGGGCTGGGACTCCCCAGCTGCGCAGCACGCGCCATGCAGAGGCAGCCTGCTTTTTTCAGGTCTGATTGCGGTTTAGAGCTTCAGGGTTTTGGGCCCATTATGCTTTAAGCAATTTTGTGAAGATACAAAATTTTCCATATAACGTAGTTTGTAATATAATCTTATCACTTCAAGTTTTAATTTAAGCCGGCTTTCAGGGTTCGGGGAGTAGGCATGGTGCATACGTGGCAAGTCAATTTCAGGCTTCGTGACTGCAGGCCGGTAGGTTTGATCAATCTTGAACTTTGAGGTCCTGTTGAGTGCATATGAACTCTGAAGTAGGGTCCCTTCCAGGTCCAAAGAATGGTGAGGCACCCTTGCTATCAGAATCTTCCCATATCGGGCCCCCGTGGCTGTGCAGATTGTTCGGGGTTGCTGGGCTTGATGACAAATTTCTGGGAAGCTGCTTGTGGAAACCTGAGTGTTCTGGCTTCTCGAAACGCTGCAACCATACACTGGACATCCCTAACATCCCTAACCCAAAACCCTAAGGTTATAAGACTAAACAGGGCCCCAAAACTGAGTTAGGAGAACAAGTGTATCGCGATGAGCTACGAGAAGTAGCATCCACATCCATGCCTACACCCAAAACTTGCAGTCCGAAGCCGCGCGGCATATTCTAAGCAACTAGCACCATCTTTAAACCCTAAATTCCGCAAACCCCAAGTCGGCTCCGTAACCCTAAATGAGACAGGATGCGGTAAACGGATTAGCTCCTTAAATAGCCCACAGAGTACTGCAGCAGAGCGGCTCCTTAAAATACTCACAGGATGCCGTAGCAGATGCAGCAGTTACGACTTTATGTCTTGCTCGACTGGAGTGACATGACCGTCTCTTAATCTTTGTGATGGGTATTTAGGGTAACTATACTAGTCTGCATGTTGCGGTTGGTCTGATAACTGTGCACTTTGTCAGGACAAGTTAGTGTTCATGCCACTACACACGCACCATTGGATGAGAACATGAAAAAGCTTTGTGTTTTCTTAGTATTATGGGATTCATGGGTAGGGTTGTTGTTTAGGTTTAGACACACACACACACATACGCACACACGCACACACGCTGTAGCCTCGTGATTTCTTCGCCGAGCTAATCGTAAACCCTCAGCCCTCAACCCCAAAACCTTAAAGCCTTTAACGGCCTTAAACCCTAAAGCCCCAAAGCCTTAAACCCTAAATCCCTGCAGCCCTAAACCCTAAAGCCCCAAAGCCCTACAGCCCGAAGCAATGCTTGGAGGGTGGGCGGACGAAGAAAGTTACAAGTACCGAAACGGGTTCCTAGCTGGGGTTGATTATGATACTCATAAGTTCACAACAGCACTACTTACTAAGTCCCCCGACCCTCCAAGTACAACCCAGGCCAAGGAACCGTAAATCCTAACACCCCTAAACCCTAAACCCCTTAAGCCCTAAACCCCCTAACCCTGAGCCCTAAACCCCTAAACCCTGAAACCCGTAAATCCCTAAACCCCTGAGGCCCTAGACCCCTAAACCCTTCACGCTTAAACCCCCGAAACCCTACAACCCAGGCCACCGGAGCTTCGGCCTCCAGCGCTCTTCGCTCTTCCGCGCCAACTGCGGCTCTTATGGCCGTGGCGGCTGCGGGCGTCCGAAAGGCGAGTCAGGCCCGTCGAAGGGTAAAGGGTTTGGGGCTTTGTTGGGGATTTTCTGGTCTTGGGTTTGGGTTTAAGCGTTTTAGTGGCTCTGGGTTCAGGGCTTCGGATGTAGCGGGAAGAAAAGACTCGTTGCCTAAGGGTTGCTTATGAGGGTTACAAGGGTGTACTGTAATGGTTACTGTGAGGGTTAGTTTAGGTCAAGGGCCATTTGGTTCAGGGTTTGGGCTTTAAAACTGCACCCTCCTCCCGTCATATAGGCACTTATCCTTCTTGCTTTAGATATAAGTATATCAACTCCCCAAATCTGAGTCAAGTGGTTTCGCCTACTATACGAACGTATCGCCCATGAAACTCCAAATATCACAGCCTCAAGGCACGCTGACATAAGGACGTCCGCAAACTGTTGGTTTAGAAATGAGAATTCAAGAACTTTCGAAATCGACACCCCCCAAACCCCAAACCCCACACCCCAAACTGCGAGCTTTCAGGCAGCTGGGAAGAGCGCCGTCACACTGCGCGCCTTTGAGAACGAGCTAGGCACGGACAAGATGCTTCCGAGGGGTTCGCCGCTTCCGTCTCGTTTCTACACATGGTGTGCAGGCGACTTACTACTTGGAGTGTTACTTACACTGTAAGTACTTCGTAATGAGATCGTGAAGGAGCATGAGCGGAGATAACTAACTAAACTAACACCCAGATGAGCATAAAAACTGATTGTATATCTATCCGCCTATAAACACATACAGCACACACATAAGCACATGTGAATGTGTATGCGTACTTTTATGTAGTGTGTGTCTGCATGTGCGTGTATGTTCATAAATACGTACGTATGCATGCATGCATGCATTATATATATATACACACACACATGTGTATACACATGTACACGCGCACTATCCACACATACATACATACGTACATACATACATACATACATAAATTTCATGCATGCCTACATACACACATACGTGCATACATACATAGATACATACATACGCACATACCTACATACATACCTACATGCATACACACATACACACATACACACATACATACATACACACGTACGTACATACATACGGACATGCATACACATGCATATATACATAGATGCAAAAGTATACACATGTTTTGTATACACACATAAACATATACACATATGTGTGTGGACACGGCCAGATGTAACTTTGCACATGTCAATGGTCATAGATATCTATGCATACATATACATACATATGTATATATACGTATATATATATATATATATATATATATACATATATACATATATATCTATACATATGCATATTCATATATAGGCAGATAGATAGACAGATAGGCAGATAGTCAGACAGATAGACAGATTGACAGATAGATAGGTAGATATATAGGTAGATAGGTTGATGGAGGTATATATGTATGTATGCATGTATGCATGCATGGATGTATGTTTATGTATATGTATACGCATATGTTTATTTTACATGTGTATGTGTATGTATACACAAATGTATATTTTACATATGTATGTATATGTAAATGTCTTTGTATATGCACATGTATATGTATACGTAAGGTATATTTACATGTGTGTGTATATGTATATGCATATGTATATGTATATGTGTATGTCCATGTTCATGTGTATGTGTATGTTAATGCGTATGTGCATGTTTATGTGTATGTATGTGTACGTATGTGTATGTATGTGTATGTATGTGTATGTATGTGTATGTGCATGTG